GAATTTGTTTAAAAAAAAATATGTAATAAGAATAATAAAATTGAAATAGTTTATTTGATGAATATCTTCATCTAGAGTTTAATAAGATAATCAATCAGCTATTATTTATCTATATGTAAAACGATTACTTGAAAAATAACGGATCCTAGGAAATGTCGATATATTTTATATAATCTATATAGAATGTTAACTATTTCAAATCTATCTATCGAGATTTTTATTTTATTCATAGTTGAAAGGCAACAACGATTATTTAAATAAATTATTTTCACTGTCAATTAAAGAGGAACGTTAAATAAGAATATTCTAGGATAATAAACAAAATATAATCGAAATTGAATTTTCATTTTATTTACATTAAATAATTATTTTATTCTTATCATTAAATAAATATAATAATTGAAAACAAATATTTATATTTTAACTCTATTAACGATAATTATCGAATATATTATAAATAATAAACAAATCCTCAATATCAATCATAACAAAGTCAATTGTCATTGACCAATATTGATCATCGTTATGTCAATACTTAGATAATATTCAATTGCTATACCGATGAGCACCAACTGATAAACTAACTTAAATAAAATAATATATTTATCGGACTTTTTCGACAATTCTCCAACGGTAGTAAACAATTATCCAAATTATTATATAAACCTTGACTTTTGTTCTTATCTGTGGATATTGAATAACACTATGTTTTATTTTAGTCTAAGGCAGAATGTGTTTTTTTTTTTATTCATAAACTATTGAGAAACACATACGAGTACAATTTATTTTGTAAACATAATTATTCAAAAGAAAAAAAAAGCAGTTACTGTAAATAAGAAAGAATAATGATTAATTAAAAATCAATAAACTAGAATTGAGTTTAGCGCATATTTCTATATGAAAGTAAAGAGCTTTTTTTCAAAAACGTTATCAAAGACACTACAGAAAACGTCAATTAACTTTAAGTTGAATTAAATAAAGTTATTGTTTAATTCGTTCTTCAGCTAATTGACTTATTCTAGTAAGTTCAACCCAAAAATGTAGAAATCTGATAAAAAAAAAGTGATTTATTCATATGCCAAAAGCTTATATGAAACTATTCTCATTAAATATGTTTTTATATGATGATATCACTTTTTAAAATGAGTTCTCATAGATAGGAATAGATCTTTAATATGATAAATAACTGAGTAAACGAAACGATACTTCACTCATTAATAAATAGGGACATCATTAACAACCAATAGAAATTATTTTGTTTGATTCGATTGTTTTATGTACCAGTAAATATGAAAAAAATAATTAAATCAAATATGTAGAATTCAATTAGAAATATACAAACAGATAAATGTCACGTAAAATATCTTCTTCGTTTTTTTTTTTTTTTTTAAATAAGAAAATTCATGAATATAACGTTATGAATATTTCAGAATATACTTTCTAAAAAACAAAGTAAATTGAATAAAAAAATCTCTGTTTGTTTTGTTTTTAAAATTCTTCTTGAAAAATAGAAATTAATTTGGGAAAAATCTACGATTTCTATAATGAACATTCCTCCTTATATATCTACCAGATCGACTCCTATTAACACATTGAATTTATTGGTTTGTAATAAAGCAAATATTCGAAGTTATTTAGGCTCGAATGTATATTATCTAGAAAAAATTCACTAAATAGATTCGATATAGAAGAAAACGTTTGTGCAGCTCATTGACATTATCGATTTATTTGAGATTGACGTTTTACATCCATCCATAGACAAATTATCTCAACAAAAAAAAAAAAGTCTTTCTAATCGAACGTATGGATTCTGCGCGTAGTTATTTTCTCCGAAACGAAATCTTTGCTTATTATTATTAAATAAAAGAAAGAAATTGAATTTTGTAAAGGATTTTTCTGTTAGACTTATAAAATATTCTATTGAATGTTGTTTTTTAAATAAAAATCGAATATTCTCTAATGAGAAAAATAAAAATTCTGATCTCAATTTATCAATTTTAATTGTTTTGAAATCTATCGAATAAATAAGTTCAAGGAAAATGTTTCCATTGAAAAATCTAACCAAATGTTATTTATATAAAACATTGTTTATTAATAAAAACATCCCTTCTATTGAATTGATTCAGAGACAACTTTATCAGTTGATTAGAAAACAAAGCCCAGTCTTTTTCTATAGTCAATTTTTTCTCCTTTTATTATCGATATCGAAATAATGATTCATAAATATATTATCATAGAACGTTCAGTTAGAACGAACAATTCTATTGATAAATGTGAAAATTTTTATATATTTGTTAAATAAGAAGAGGAATCTATGATTAAAAATACTTCGAAAATAAATTGTTCTTCTAGATCACCTCATAAGTCGTATTATTTTTCAGATACTAATTTTTCTTCAAAGACACAAATAACAAAATAAAGAATAGAAACTTTGTTGGTAGAAAGAATTGAAAGAGAGAGAGAGAGAGAAAAAAAATTCTCTCGTTTCGTTTTATATGTTTCGATCAGAGTTTATGGTAGGTTTTCTTCCTATTGAGATTATTTTCTTAATATATTACTGATGATAATATTGAATTTTATAAAATATCTATTTCAATTTTTCCTTATTATCTATTATGTTAACGATGTTAACAATAGATCGTTTTTATATATTCATTTGAGAATATTTATTATATATCTCGAGCATTTATCGAATGATGATACTTTTAATTTATCATCTTTTTTTCATTAGAATATATTTATCTGACTATATTGAATTCAAAACGGAGAATTACACATGTTAAACGTTGAATGGTCAAATCAATATTGATTTCAACACTTTCACTTTCAATATCAAATCATTCTCAACGAACAGGACGATTAAAACCTTCGATCTATCTATCATCGGAATAGTCTGACTATGGCCAACGAGTTTCATCAATGATTAGTTATCGAAAACAAGCTAGAGATCTCAATAGAGCAATGTATCTTTACCTTATTTTACTGATCTCTGATGCCACTAGCATTGCAACGTGACGGAAGCAAATTGGTCACGATATCTCGGAATTCTTCATTTATTTTTCAAGGCTTATTAGACCTCAACATCAATTAGAAACAATATCTGAACAATCGAAACTCTAATAAAATAAAGAGTATATACCGAAACAAAAAATGATTTTATGATAGATCGATAGATAGATAGACGATTGAATAAATATTAACCGATATATGATGTGTAAAGTAGATGTTTTAACCAGAGAGGCATTACTTTAACAAAATCTATCTCAAGACAATGATTATTCTATTCACTTTTTATATTAATTCAATTGAGTAATCAAATCTATGAGCGTTTCTTTTTTTTGTTTTTAATTCTCTCATGTGTATTTCAATTTAGACGAAAATAATTATGAAAAAATATATAAGAATATGTTTTTACTAAATTAATTCATTTAGCGTTAGGTTGCTTCATTGATATATTATTTTAGTTTTTTATGAATATCTCTACTATTATATGATTATGTTCGGATTGTCTCGTTTATTCTATCTTATAGTTATCTATCATATCAAGAAGAATTTTCATCGAGGATAACATCCGATATAGTAAATTGTTTTATTATCTTCATAGATAATAACCGTTGACTATGAATAGATATATCTGTTAGTGAGAAATATTTTCTTCCTATATTAAATTAAATATGATTTTGATCATTGTAAGATAATTAAAAAACGTCTATAATCACATTGAATTTCTATTTGTAACTGATCATTGTATATATATTCACCTAATTGATCTTCAGTAAACTTAAATAAATATTTTATTAACGATTGTCGATTGACAATATTGTCAAACTTTGTTTAGTGAATTTTTTTGAGAGATAATAATTGATATTCTCTGAAATGATTCATAGACGATTGAACTTTGTTTATTAAGAGGAGCCGTGCTAGAAAAAAAACATTCATTCTCGATCTATCAAATCTTCGAATAATGACAATTGTTCTAAATAGGGTAGGTTTATTTTCGATATACTCATATTACCTTCGAGAGACGGTCACATCTCAATCATCCTAGCTCTCAGACTCTATTCATAGGAACGTTTTCAAAAAGGTGTGTCGCGCAATTCCTCTATGATTAGAATCTTCAAGACGATGTAGTTTCTCTTGATAATAAGAGAGACATTATTCTCTATTCTATCGATGTTGGGAATAGATTTCTTCGCCATCCCTTTTCACTTAATCTTCGAGAAATGCAAAAAGAAAATAATTCATATTGTTATTATAACGAGACGCTATTGATATACGATCTGTGATGCGGGAAATGAAGGCAGACAGGATATATTGGTAAAGCATCTGTCATGGTCACGTCTGTGCGTGTAGTGACCATCGGATTGATTTTGAGTCTGAAAATTTTCGATTCTAAAGAGTCTAGTAGGGAGAGATGAAATATTTCCTTCTATAGTTCAACACTAGTTTTAGATGATGTTTTACCAAAGAAATGTAGATGAAATGGTGAAAAGTTAAGATAAGGGATCTAGTCGTTGAGAGACTCATTCTTTATCAGATATCGTTTGTTTTATTAGCTTTTGCAAGACCTATTATAGCATCGAAACGATGAGAAAAACAAAAATTCTTCAGTGATCGTTAGTTGCGACCGTCAGGCAACCATTTGTTCGTCCGCCTCTGTCTTTTTCGGTCTTGTAGATGTCTCTGGTTTTTTTAACAAAATATATTCTTATAAAATGATTATGACAAATAATAACTCTAATCAAAACGATATTTAAAGAAAAATAGATCAATTTTCTTGTTTTTTCGAATTGTTTTCCAATAATGTTCTATATTATTATCCAAATCAAGTAATTCTATGTCTAAGACTAATTGATCAGGACATTTCAATTCTTTATTATATTGATGAAGATCTCGAATTTGTTTGAGAACGTTTTTTACTTTTAACTATTGCACCTGGATGTTCATGTTTTGGGTTGACTATGATCATATTCAAGTATAGAACCATTTTGATGTCTTATTCAATTATGATATTGAACTATTTCATCAATAAGATATTCAAAAAATGTTCGACAATTATTTAATAAAAGATAATAATTTCGATGATTATATAGATAATTATCTTGAGATTGAATAAGATTTTCTAATAATTTGTCAGATTTAATTTGACACATAAATTCAATTCTTTGAATATATTTCGATATTTCATTTAATTCAACCATATTTTATTACATACGTTTTTTTTAATACCATTTTTACTATCACCAACATCAATTTCAATTAAAACAAAACGACATTGACCAGTTGATGCTAATAAAAATCTATGACAAGCACGACCATCAGCCTATAACACAAGGTTCAATTGGATGTCCTATAGAAGGAATATGATCTCCTATTGCACGACAACCAACAAATAGATCTATAAAACTAGTTAAATCTCTCAATAAGTTACATAATCATTTGTTGATATCTAATCTTAAAATATCTGACTAAAAAATCTTCTACTCTTATCGAAGATCTTCGATGTGGTCATCGTTTCTATTTCAAGTATTGTTTATAGTTGATTAATGTCGTGCCACCAAATGCATTATCTTCATTTATCGAAAGATTAAAAAGATAATCGGTTATTGGATATTGGAATAGGTGATATTAACAATAATAATGAATAACTCTCGTTTGTATACAGAGTCTAGTATGAGCTTTATTTTCGAAGCAAAACATTTTTTCTCTTTATTAATCTTAAAGAGAATTTGTCATCTTTGTTTAAAATTCTCGTCTGATCATACCGACTGAACGAATAGTCAAATATAATATGGAATCATAGATGAATTCTCTCAACGACTTTGAATATTTATAGAGAATATATCATCGATCCCGCCTTTACTCTGTAATAGTGCTACTACTTTTGGTATGTTATTCTAACAATGGGAACTATCCGAACTGATATCCGCGTATAGAGTCTATACTGATCTTTATATAACGGATACCTTACCGATGGTAGAAAAGGTCGAAAAGGATTCATTCTCATGATCGTTTAGAGGCAGATAACGATCATTTTAGTGACTGTGTAAGACTCATCTATTAGATAATATAGTGAATACTCAACAAAGCAGACGAAATTTATCTCAAAAAACGTTCCATTTTAATTTAATGTTGACACGCTCTACACGATGTCCGGTGGATCTCTCGCACATATCGCAATGGTGTGGGTGTCAAGAAGGGAGCTACACTAGGGAAATGTTGATATCTAATTGAAGATTTCTATATGAGATTGAAGATTAGTAGATGCTTGGAATTGATCGAAGACTTGTTGCTCTCTCTCTGTTTGCGAAATTGATCTCGAAAAACGTTCGATTTTAATTATATCTTCAGACATTTTTAAAAAACGTTCCTACTATCTTCATGAAGACTTTTTATCAAGTAAAAATCCTAATGTTATGATCATATTAACAAAGAGATAAAAGAAATTCTTATATTTTCAATGATTTAAATATATTAAATATAACAAATTTTTTCATCTGTTACTCGAATTTTTCCTGACCAATTGTAATAGACAATATGCCATATTTAATTAAATATTTTAATCATTAGGAAAAAACCGGTCAATCAATCAATATTTACAATTTATATATTAACCGTTCTAGATAATCAACTTTGAAATTTCTTCGATCCCAACATAACATTTGAAAATTATCTTTTTTTTGTTTTTATTTTCATTTATAAAAAAAGAAAAAAGAATTAAACTATACTTATAATGTATTCGTACAACTGTTCTCTTATAGAGTATATTGTCGGATTAAAATTAAAATGATACCATTCATCGTTAACAAAAACAAATATCAATATAACAGATTTGCTTTTTTTTATTTTTTGATAATTTACTTTTGTAAGAGTATGATCAATAATAGTTCCCGATTGTGGATTTTCTATATTACGGACCTTCTTGTTGAAAAAATCGAGCATCATCACGTTTTTTTTTTTTACAATTAACTAGAGTTAGTTTTGGTTGATAATCAGACTTTATCTAAGGAAGAACTAATTAAATCGATAGAACGAGAGAGATTTTTGTTATTGATTTAAATCATATTTAAAAACGTTACTCGTGTTTCTTATAGATAATATTATTTAAATGCATCGAAATAATTATAAAATAATTAAGAAACGTTTATTTATTGAAATTGTCAACAAATGATTATTGAACAAATAAATCATCGATATGAAATATAAATATAAACTGTTTATGGTAAGAGAAATATTAATTAAATAATGATGATTATATAAAATAAATCTATTTATTAATAAATAGAAATATAATTGATAATAGTGATAAACATATCAATTATATTTTAACGATAAATATCGTTTATTTAATCATTATTTCGAATAAATAGATTTATCTTTAACAAAATTCATTTATTTAAAATGATTATTTATTTGAAAAGATTTTTATTTATAGTTAAAGATAAATTTATTCATATAAACAATTTTCTTTTTAATTATATATTTACTTTTATTGGTTTTAATTCTAGAAATAAACAATTTTATTTATTTATTATATATTTTATTTCAATTAATATTTTATCAAAATTATATTTTAATTAAAATATAATATTAACACTTTATCATTATTTACCATGAATATTTATTTTAAAATAATTCATTCTTATTTATATCAATAAGACCATTATTAGTTTCGATTTACATTAATAATATTAGGTTGGAACATAAGTTCTGAGCGTTTTTTTTTGTGCTGTAGACAAGTTTGAAACTTTATATCTCGTGATCGGACAGTGATAGAGATCTGAAATTTTTAGCGTAGGTAGAAGTCAAAGAGATCTATCTACGCTGAAAATTTCCGATCTCTATCACTGTTCAATCACGAGATATAAAGTTTCAAACTTGCCTACAGCACAAAAAAAACGCTCAGAACTTATGTTCCAACCTAATAAATCATAGATTTATTTTGATTATTTTAAACAATTAAATATATGTTCATTACCTCAGCTATTTCTTAATCATGTATTAATTAATCAATATTTTATTAAATGAATTTATTTATTTATCATAAAATTGATTATTTAATTAAAATAAGTAAATATTCAAATCTAGAAATATGTCCTTTAAAAAATAATAATTCCATAACATATATATCGACAATATTTACTTTTGAGATTTTATAATTAAAATATATCATCATTTATAGAATCACCATCGATTTTATTAACGCATCCTCATAGACACTTTTTCAGATATTTATCTATAAATAAAATAAATAAATATATAATTAATATCATCATATTTACCTTATTTAACTGACGAACCTCTTTAACAACGATCGTCCATTACAAGAAGATATTTTGAATATATATTAACGTTAACCTTCTACTTAATACATCAATATATATAGTATGTTTAATAAATACACGAGATTATCCAATAAATATAGGTCAATATTGATCATTTGAAAAAAAATTCCGTTTATCATTAATTAATTCAACGATTGTTCTCCATCAATCAATATAGGACAATTTATTGAAAACGATTATTTGTTCTTTATTATTTACAAGCTAATATATCAACAGATAATAAATTATATTAAACAATAAATATTATTTAATTAAACCATCAACTAAACCAATAAATAATAATCATTGAAGATAAATAGAACCAACTGAATTTGTTTAATTAAGATCAACAATACAAGGAACACATTAACAACAACAATCAATAACGTTCATTACCAATTTTAACTAACACATCAAATATTATCATCAATATTAACAACAAATATAATCATCTATTTCAATGAATTATTCAACAATATTACCTAGAGAAAATCTACATTTTAGTTTACATATTAATCGACAAAAAAAAAACAATGTACTTTACCAAAAACTAGACGATTAAGTGATTTATTATTATCATTTTATTGTCGATCATTAAATATTTATCAACGTTGATCTTATAGAATTTACTTTTTAAAAATCATTTTTTTGATTAATCATGATCAAGTAAGTTGAGAAGAAAAAACAATTTTTTTGTTTTTGGAATGTTTAATTAATCAAGAAAATATATGATTATAAAACAAATAAGTTATCTCAAAGAATTTCGAATGTTTTATATCAATAAGTCATTTTAGAATAACAACATTTCATAACATGATAAATAACAAGTCATCTTCTCTTTTTCTCTTATTAAAATACCTTTCAGAGACATTTTATCCAAGAGTACACTTTACTATCTATATATATATTATGTTCAGTGTCTCCATATGACGGATCAATGGTTAAACGTCAAATAAGAATAGAAGCGGAACGGTCCAACGGCTATTTTCTTTGGGTACCCATAGACTCCCAAGGAAGTAAACCAGTAAGGAGATAGTTAATAACAGGGTAAATCAATAAGGAGATAAGGCTAGAAGAGCTTCAACGGATATAAGGGTATAAGGCCAATGGCTACCTGGACTTTAAAAATATGTGTGATATAAGAGTATGAGATCATAGGGCATTTCTATCTATTATGATAATATCGGGTGTCTCTATGTCTGTTAGTGGATGGAAAGTAAAACGTCTAAGGTGATGCGTTAAAGAAGGAAAGAGCTGTGCAGTATGTACGAGTTCTTAATATATTAAAATATTGGGTTTTGAAATGAAATCTATCTTATTAGATGGATATCGAAATAATTTTCTAGAAAAAAAAACAATTTTCGATCGATTTTTATCATGAAAAGCTGTCAGATATATAAGTATTGAGCTAGCGGAGGAGAAGAAAAAATGATTCTATTGATCATTTTGTTGATCTGTAGATAATCACTAGATAACCTATATTCTTCCTTTTTATTCTAATTTGATCGATATGTCAATAATCGAAATCTAAATAGAAACATGTAGAATATTTCGAAGTTGTTTAAAACAAACAGACAAATATTTAAATCTATTTAGGAGAATGAATTAATTACAGATACGATCTATTGTTCGAAATGAAGATTATCCAACATTACTGTGCGCCTCAAATGGTTTTCCCCTATTTGTATTTTTTAGGTTTTATCACTAGACCTTTTTAATTTATTAACTTCTTATATATAGAAAGAAAGCCCAAAACGCGCTGCATCTAATGGTGTATTTACATTGGACAACAAATGAAGTTTGAAGTACAAAAAATTGTATTAGAAAAAGATGTGGTATTTTTTTTTACTACAAAAATTGATCAAAATCTTAAAATG